CTGGTCACAAGAGGGACAAAGTGACAACCAGAGTTTAGTTGAAAAAAAACCAAGTCAGAAACGGGGACGTGCAATATGGTGAAAATAGCAAAGCACAATTGGAATAGTTCTATATTATGCTTTTTAAAACTCACAAGGACGTTTCTCCGTGGGACTTCATAGTGTGTTATACATAATCATTACGTGGGGCATGATAGTGAAATCAGGCGCTCGTCAAAATAACGAAATTGAAGTGAATGGCATTTTCCCACCAGTGTGGCTATTGTTATCAATTTAAAAAATGTTTTTGGCTCAACATCTTTTATGTTCATTCTAGCACACGTTTCTGAGTGGATATTACTGAAAAACGTTGATTAAATGCACAAAAATGTAAGTTTTCAATTACCACAGGCTCCCAAGTTTTAGAAATAACCAAACTTTGGCGGCCATTTTCTCACTGATTTAACACTTGAAACAAGGCCACTTCCACCTCCTTCAATTGCAGATACCTTGACTTCTATTCAAGATAAATGGGCATTTTGTCGAAATACAGACAAATGAACAAGCTTTAAGATCAGACCAATAAGTCCTCATGGCCAAAAATTGACGAGCGCCTGATTCCACCTCATCGTGACACATATTTACCTTTGCCCTCTCCATGCTAAACGTTTCAAAAGCACAAAGTGGATCGCCAGTTCTCTGGGCTACTTCAAAGTCTGTTGAAATGTTGTTATAATCTATGATTTAGATAAAAACACACTCGTTCGTTATCGTTAGAAATGGTAACAACAGCAACAAAAACAACAACAACAACAACAACAACAGCAACAACAACAACAACAACAACAACAGCAACAACAACAACAACAACAACAACACCAACAACAACAACATTGTATTTGCCATCGACCGCCTTCACCGTCTAGATTAGAGCCCACCGATGATACAATTATATTAAACATTTTAAAGAAAAACTAAACTGATTGTCCTCGAAAATGGGTGCCGGTTGAGTTTTTTTAAAAACATCTTTCTGCATAATGTTCATAAAGTGGGTCATGAGATATCTGGGCTAGATCGAATGTTTCATGAGCCTTTTAAAGAAAAAACTAACACGTTCTCGATGGAATGGGTAGGGGCTTTTTTAAAAACAGTCGGCAATCGGTAGGCTTGCTGGGAATAGATAAGGCTTTTTAAGAAGGCAACTGAGTAGCTCAGACAAGACGTTTTATCAAAATAATAGGTCGTTTTCAGGGCCCTCGTCCCCATAACTCCTTACGTAAATGGAAGAGAAGTAAGAACACCTTACCTCTCTACACCCAAGTCTAGATCTAGAGCATTTGTACCTGTCATTTCTGTTTAAAGAGCCTAAGTCCAGGAGTTTATAAGAACAAAATAAAACCTTGTTGCCTACTTTGGTACCAACAAGGCTACGTTGAAGTAATACTCACAAAGTGTCTTGTTTATGTGTTTTAGGATTTTGTCAATGGTAGGACCAATTTTATAACAGTAACAGAGCAAGACTATTCCGAATGCCTGCTATAAGCCACCTACGTAAAACACATGGACAAAACACTTTTTTGTATAGGAAAATACTCCGTGTTCTCTTTTTGGGTCATACAATACATTTATATAACAGAAATATAAAATATTGGGATATTTCACCATCGCATTAAAAATATATACCCGTTTCTCTTTCAATTGCCTGAACCAACATCATCAATGTTTTATTCGGTAATAAATCTCAAAATTTGAGCATTCGATACCACAATGTAGAAATTGCTCTCAAACTTCAAATTCAGTTTCAGTTAGGTAAGAGTTTTACAGCGCTTGCAACTGGACAAGGTCATATGAGCTCGCAGGCATCAAGTTAGGTGTTTTTACGTCAGTTCACGATAAAATTTGTTTTACTTTAATATGTTGGAATGATTGAAGTTAAAAAGTTCATGGTAAACATTCCTTTCGTTTAAAAAATAGTAGTTTACATATAAAAGTTGACCTATCTGAAATCTTTGAGTAAAAACCAATGGTCTTTCAAGAACTTTGTTGGGATCAACGTTGGAAAACAAATTCTTTAATTCAAAATAGTGCATTTAAGATACTTTCTTCGGGTCTGGTGGCGTCGGTAGTCAAGTAGTTAGGCACCGGACCCGTAATCGAGAGATTGCAGGTTCGAGGGTTTGAGCCTCAGATCGGTCCGACGCATATTACACGAATTTCCCATTTGGCTCGGTCCTTTTGGAGATGGATGCTAAACTCGGAGGTCCCGCCCCTTAAATAACCTGATAGTGTCGATAGGGGTGTTCATAAACATGTACCATTTCCTTCGGGTCTCTCCAAAGTCCGTACGTTCTATTGGGAAGTGCAGGATTGTTAGGTTGGCATCGCATCCGACACAAAAGGGTTTTTATTTAGTTTTTCATCTCCCTCAAGGAGGTTTTTACTTTTCAAGGAGGTAGGTCTATGTCCAATCCGTAATTTTGTTAAATTAGCTTCGTCTCTTCTGGATAAACTGAAATGTTTACTTATGCCCAGCTTCGGCATGGGCATGGCGGGGTTTGTTTTTGGGGGGAGGACTGAATCAAACTTGTGGAGGTAACATTCAAAGCCTAAAGCGTGCTGAAGCAAAAACATCAGTTACTGTAGTAAGTACTTATTATATTTTCCTTTAAAAAAATACCACAAATGTAACACTGAGTATTTTCCTACATAAAAAGTATGACCCCAAAACAGAATACAAAGTACTCGTATTTTCCTGTATAAAGGTATGGCCCTTAAAAGGAACACAAAGCTCTCTTTTAATTAAAATACAGAAGAACAGGGGAGACTAGTGACTCGTCCATCTCAACAACTTCAGTGTCTGGTATCTCATCCCACCTGTGAATCCCCAGTATTCTTCTCAGTCAGAAGAGATGAAACATAATATTAATATTGAGCCTTTAGGTCAGTTCAAGGGTTCACTCCATATGAAAGAGTTGGAAATACAACAGTGCTGTACACATTGCATTCTGTCTCTGTACGTATACATGAACGAGAGATGTCCCATACTCTATTTCTCAGTTTACAAAATGCAGACCTAGCTCTGCTTATCGTGGAAGCAACTCCAGCATCAATCTTGGCATTAGTAAAAAGAAGTGCAGTGTTTCAAAAACCTAGGCTGATGAATGAAGGTTTGACCAGTGTGCAACTGTTCTATTTTTCTTGCCTAGAAATGGAATGCCCCATAGAAACGACTAGCAAGTCAAGGCGGTCTGAAGTGTATCCTTTTTTTAGGAGACATTTTCTAGTCTCTTCTTAAAGGGTAAGCAGTATGTCTCGGAAACAATATTCCTCAGTTTCTGTGAATTATGCCAAACGTCTTAGACTGCAAAACGACTAATACATGTATTCTTAGCCTTTTTGGCAGGTGCTCTGGTGTGGTTTACTTTTTCTCTCCTATCAAACATCTATCACCCTTATCTCCCCTTCTTCTTTTTATGTTTGTTACTCTCTTGTAACACCTCTAATCTTCTGGCGCTCGTATGACCTTATGCAGTTGCGAGCGCCGTAAAACCTCCCCTAAACTAAAAAATAAAATTCTTAGCCACCTACGTGCAGCGTAGTGCCAATAGCTCCCAATTACACCCAACACCCAAACCTGCTACAACTGCACTCTTTTCTCGCTGCAGGAATTTTCCAGGGATAGGAAAGACAAACAGAAACGGGAAGAAAGATGGGCTGTAGATGTTAAAACTGAGTTAGAGATTTCTTTAAAGTGAGAAAGAGATACGTGGATATCAATCTAATTTGTTGGGTTTTTTTTCAAGTGAATAGAAGCACATCGGCACAGCAATGGTCATACAGTGCTAGGAAAACTAGTAAGACAGACAGACAGACAGAAAAACAGAGAGAAAGGGAAGAAGTAGGCCAATCGCACTGATTCGTTCGCCTAACCATGTATTAAGGCACAGGAGGTTGCCCGGGGGTCAATCGTACTGTATTGTCCACTTAAAGGGCCTCCAATACACAGTAGAATTGTAAATAGGTTGATTTATCAATGTCATGCTCATACTGTGCCGGAACAACATGAGGGGAACTGCTGATTTTTCTTCCCTCATCCTTACTATCGTCATTTTTCCTCTACTTCTTTTGTAGGCTTGTCACTCTCTTGTGAACTGCTATTTCTGGGGTGCCTTGATAGTCGAAGCAGACTTTGTGCTGTTTGAGGCAAGAGAGGTGGACAGAGTAAGCCTGATTCCCTGTAAGGACACCCACCCCTCGACGCACATATGACCTTATGCAGTTGCGAGCGCCTTAAAACTTCTACAGAAACTAAACTCAAAGCCTCACAGTCCCAGCTCCATAAGATTCAGACTAAGGAACACGGAGACACAACGGATGTTCTGTAGCAGGCCGTCTGGGACAAGAGAGCGGTCAGTCACTTGCTGACTGACCCATATAGTTCCAAATATTGACCTTGTGCCATCATTGTCAAAGCTGCTCAAAGAAAGGATTCCCACAGCTTTTGGGGTATATACAAAAACATAATTATATAAATAGACCAACAGTTGACTAAGCCTATGGTCTGAGCACTAGATAAAGTCTCGATTTTAGCCTATGGCGATTGGGCTCATTTAAGTTTCCTTCCCCCGTGGCCGTTTGAATGAACCTTCCCACTGAGCGCCCTTTAATGCTTTACGTATGTTGGCTATTTTAAAGAAAAACAAACTGCTTGTCCTTGGAAGTCTGTAGCCATTTTTCTGCTTCACGTTCGTAAAATGGGTTATGTGGTCTTTGGGCTACTTAATTTGTTTGATGAAAGTTACGAATTTGTGTATTTTAAGAAAACTGTTCCCAGTAGTTGGCTTTTCTGGGGGGGAGTTGATATATAAGGAGAAGCCTGCTGTTTAGTTCAGACAGGAATTTTTCTCTAACTTTCATCGGTCAAAATGGCGGTAATCTGGTTGCTCCAGGTCCTCTTCACCTCAGCACTGGGCGCTAGCTGTCTCCACAGAGGACAAAGAGCGGCTGATGACGGGTTCCTCATGGTCAACACCAGCTACGGCACTCTCAGGGGAAAGGTGGATTCTACACCTTCAGTTCCTGTGGCCAAGTTCTTGGGTATTCGTTACGTTAAACCTCCAACAGGTGAGAGATTCACTCATTTTTTTGCCCCCCCCCCAAACTATCCGTATCTATCTCTCTATCCTTGTTTGTTTCGTCTTACTCCATCCATTTCTATCTCCATCGCTTTCTGTTTGTTTGTCTGCCTGTCAGTTTTTCGCGTTGTCTGTTAGCCTGTCTCTCTATTTTGTCTGTTTCACGCTCCCCCTTCTCTCTGTCTGTCTCTGTCTCTCTGTGTCTGGAGAGACACTTCACAAACTATTCATTTATCTAAACTGTCAAAGGCGTGGTATTTCAGTTTGGGTTTTCAACCGGTGAAAACTGCCATGAGTCTGTTTGCTAGACGTTTTGGATCCATGTTCTTCTGTCAATATAGTCAAGCGATTTCTCCCACCACCCCCACCCCTCTCTCCCCTCTCTCTCTCTCTCTCTCTCTCTCTCTCTCTCTCTCTCTCTCTCTCTCACTCTCTCTCTCCCTCTCTATTCGTCTCCCGGCATTTGTCCACTGGCTCGGCGCCAGTCTTTCTCCTCACTGTATTACCCCCAGCCTAAGTCTTTTCTGGAGAGTTATCAAAGAAAGCGGCTTCTCATACTCAGTCCAGTAGATTAGCCAGGCTGCTCAGTATGATGATTTTGGTAAGCTAACTGAGTCCAACCTGCATTTCATAGAAAAACAGAATAAAATGGTTTGAGCGCCTGATATGAATGTAACCTAGCCAGCCAGCCTCGAGAAAAGGTTCGCCAAGTACTCAGGCCATATAAGAAGAGGAAGACAACGCAAAAAAAGGATTGACGCTATCCATACGCCATTGGGTCATTTTGTACCCCTGGGCTTGTATTCTTCACATATTAGAATACTTCTAGTACGAAGATCTCTTTGAAACTTTCAGTATTTCTAAAAAAAATCCCTTTAGCAGACTGCTTTGCAAAGCGTACGGATCAGATTAACTAGTAAATTTCCTCCTTGGAAAGTGGTGGAACAGAGTTCCCCACGTCATATGGATACGATAGTAAAACACGACGTACGATAGGGGTAAGGGAGTCAAGGAAACCTTGAAAATTATAATATCCCAATTAAAAGAGCAGCAGACCTGACCACCCGTAGGAAACTGCTTCTATCCTCGATCCTTAACGGCAATAGTGAATGAAAAAGTTAAAGTAAGTAACTGTCATTCGGAGTCTCTCATGAGCTCACAGTACGAATGTTTTAAAAGGCACACGCCATACTCAGTGTTAATGCGTCATTTTCTTTCTATTTCAGGACCGCTACGCTTCAAAGCTCCGGTGAGTCCAGATTCCTGGGATAGTGTCAGAGACGCTCTTACATTTGGGGACGAGTGCTTACAGGAAGATAACCCTAATTACCCTTTCCGGGCTGGAAACCGGCGTCCACCTAGAAGTGAGGACTGTTTGTTCCTTAACGTGTACTCACCCACACAGAGAAATGGCCAGGTCCCACTGCCTGTGATGGTGTGGATACATGGTGGGGGATACCGATTAGGGTCAGGTTCTCAAATCGACGTCACGACTCTAGCGACTAAAGGAGTCGTTCTGGTGACCATTAACTACAGACTGGGTGTTTTTGGGTTCTTGTCAACTGAAGACGACACACTGCCAGGGAACTACGGGATGTTGGATCAGATTGCTGCACTCAAGTGGGTAAAGGAAAACATTGCGTCTTTCGGTGGGGATCCGAATTTGGTGACTATTTTTGGGGAAAGCGCTGGCTCAGCAAGTGTCTCTCTCCTCACTCTATCTCCCCTAGCCAAAGGTCTGTTCCAGAGAGCAGTCATGGAAAGTGGCGTTTCTCTTTCTCCTTGGGCAGTGGAGTTCCCAGGAAATCGAGTGTCTTCTCGTATGGCAGCCCGGCTGATGGGTCAGGCCGTTAAGTGTGACGACTTGAATAATTCAACAGCGCTTTTGTCCTGCCTACAACAAGCCGATGCAGTTAAGTTGCTAAACTCATCCAATGCATTTAATAACATTATAAGTCCAGTGGTGACAATATTTGGGCCTAGAGTAGAAACAACATTTGGCTTCCTACCAGAATTACCATCTACACTACTTTCTAAAGGACAAATTAACCACGTAGACACTCTCAGAGGATTTACTAGTGATGAAATCGGATTTTTGATTCCTCTTTTCTCACGGAATCCTCCTGTGAAAGTCACAGTGGAAGTGGCAAAACAAGTTCTTGGTGAACAGTTGTTCCAGTTTACCAAACGCGACCAAGGAAAGCTTCTTGAATTATTGGAGTCAACGTATCTGACAGACACGTCAAGCAGTGAAGTCCTACAGAGAAAAGCTCTAGATGCCAGAGACAATTTTACATTTGTTGGTCCAACAATAATGGAACTGAATGACGTCGTGCGCGGAGTCCCAGAAAAGAAACATTACTTGTACCAGTTCAATCATAGGCCAAGTTTCAGCAAAGCCCCACAGTGGATGTCAGCCACGCATGGCCAGGACTTGTATTTCCTGTTTGACGTTCAACAGAAAATGTTCACCGATCAAGGCAATGGTCCACCTGACGCTGACGACATTCTGGTATCTCAACAGATGATGGAAATGTGGACCAACTTTGCCAAGACTGGGAACCCAACGTCAACAGTGCCCACTGGTGGAGTGACGTGGAGTCAGTACATTAGCCCTACTGCACCACACTATCTTCTCATCAATTCTACTTCTGAGTTAAAACTCTGGTCACAGTCTGATGTCGTTGATTTAACCCGCAAGGTTCTCGAGGTTTTAGAGTAAGCAGCTTGACAACAGTTAACCCGTTATTAGGTAGAAGACGAAAAGTTCAACACACTTATAGGATAATCTGCCTTACCCCCCCCCCCCCCCCACCCGGTTAATCCGTATTTGTGAGGCAGCGTGGTGGAATCAGGCTCTCGTCAATTTTGGGGCATATTGAGTTATTGGTATCATCTTAAAGCGTGTTCATTTGTCTTGCTTTCAATGAAAAATTTACCCATCCATTTTCAATAGAAGTGGAGATATTTTGGATTAAAGAGGTGGGGGTCACCTGATTTAAGAGGTAACATTAGCGAGAAAATGGCCGCCAAAGCTTGGTAAATTCCAAAGCTGGACAGTCCATGGAAACTGTAAATTTATATTTTTGTTCCTTTAAGAAACGTTTTCGGTGAAATTCTCAAAGGAATATGTTTGTAAATGGACATAAAAGGTGTTGAGCCAAAAACCAAAAATTTGATAAAAATTGCTAAGCAGGGAGAAAACTGCTGTTTTCTTCGATTTCATTATTTTGACGAGAGCCTGATTCCACCCCACTGCCTCACATTTGTATGCAGTACTCGCAAGAAAGTGCTGAACAAGTTATGTGCCTGTATGTGAACAAGTCTATCGTATTGAATTTTTCTCGTGCTTTGTATTGCTCTTTGTATAGTCTCTTCAGAAAGTGGCGATGGGTGGGACACACCTTAAGAAAGCCCAGCGGAAACATCACAAGACAGTCACTGCAGTGTAACCCACAATGAGCACGAGGCAGGGGTAGG